ATGTAATCACTATTACAATACTACGTCTTTAGCTGATAATGATTATGAAACTCTCAAGAAGACGATTACTAAATAAATTTTGTTACCACATCAAAATAATCATTTACTTTTCTATTAAAATCCTATTAATTTTTTTCAACAAATTATACTTTATTAGTTTAGTTCTGTAGTAGGTCTGAACTAACTCAGGATGAGAAAAACATTGACATCATGAGAAAATAATAACATAAGATCGATAAGTGATCGTAAGACCAAGATATAATTAATGTTGAGATGATGCTTTTGCTCTGCCTGTTTGTTTTCGCTACCAATTTGTCGTCGACAGTTTTCATCAAAGATAATCGATATTTATATTAGGAAAGTTAACATTGTTTTAACACGTTCGCGCTTTCCCTTCCAGACAGATTGAAACGAAAACTTTCTCACCAGAAGGCCTTTTGTTATTCAATCTTTATATTAATGACACGCTGAGAAAACAATTGTCAGATGAGACACTAATGTCATATAATTCGTGAATAAAAAGCAAGAATGCAAGATTTCACTTTTATCTGGAACATTAGCTCTTTCGAAGGAAAATTTTTTTACCAGAGCGTGACGATTGTCTGAGCTTTCCAAAAGGCTTTCGCACAATATCTGTTAATTCATTTACGATGTTGTATATCTACATAAGATTTTATATTATTATATTATTAATATTTGTAAATGTTTTGAATTTCTTTCGAAATAAAATCGCGAGCGGCTGAAAAAATATTCAAATGAATACCACGTTCTCGAATTTATAATGCGAGGACTGCTATCAACACATTTGCGTCAGTGGCACCTGCGCAAGCACGAGAAATGAGTGAGGAAAATTGCTTTATATTGCTCACGATAAAAACGCGATGTATACGAGCCTAGACACAATTACAAATACCATAGCAAGGTTGCCGTACTTGTCCTACATTTCCAACAAAAAATATAAAAGCTCCAGCTGTGAAATTCTCTTAAACGCCAATTTTTGTAATCAAGTGAATATAAATATGATAAATATTATGGGATTATAAAAATGTGAATTTTAATCCTTAAAACAGAGTGAATTCAAATCTTTCGTATAAATAAAAAGTTAAAAATAGACAAATATACACGGGCCTTCGGGGAGAATGCAACGCATACATTGTCAAGATAATAACGCTTATCGGAACAAGTGGTTTTAACATAACAAGACAGATAGCGAATTAATTACAGCTGTGTTTCTTCTGTAATAAGCGAGAAAAAAAATAATGCGCAAAAATATCGAGTTGCCCATTCATTTCGCTATGAGGACAAAAAAAAATTCTGCAACGCGACTCGATTTTTCGGTCTCTCGACTACGCAAAGTTTTCGAATCCCCATCGATCGATCGATGCATCGATGTGGATAAATCGACACGCGTTTCCTCGCGCTCTTGCTTTATCGCTCGCTTGATATCGTTAATGGTGCTCGATCAATCTCGCAGCAAAACATTCATCGCCCCGGTAAATCGTCATTTTTAACGAGACGAAAGCTAAGCGGAAAATCGATATTTTTGCCGGCGGCGATTCCATAATTGGAATATTCATTACGAGCAGGTTTTCGAATGCTCGTCGAAACGTCCTTTCCTCGCGTTAATGCGCAGTTTATCATCTCCTCGTCGTTTTTGCATTTAGATTGGAATAGAGATTTTCTTTAACGAATGCACGTTGGCTTAAACGATTTTATTGGCTGAACGTATTTGGCTTCGCGCGCGATGTTAAAGGGGATTGACCTTCCAAATATGATGAGACAGCATTGACATGCATGCGTCGATTCGCCTTTCAATTTCTATTACGATAACCGGAGCTATCGTATGGATACATATTAATAACTTATACTACTAAAATAATACAGCTTGAAAATTCGTACGAAGAATCAACTTTAATAATTGTTGCGTATATATAAATAAATAATATGATTTTTTTTACATTTATGTCGAAAATAGATTAAAATTTTTTTTATTGAAAAAAATAAATTTGTGCATATGCTTAATGAATCTCTTGTTCCAATCAATTCTCAAGTTATGCAAGCTGCATTTCGTAAATAATAAGTGTATAATTATGCATTAAAAAGATATAAAACAAACAAAGACGCTCAGTTATAAATGTCTCGTAACGAAATTATTGTTGGCTCAGTTTGTGAGTCATATGGAAAGCGGAGAATCGCGATAAATATGCGATAAGTTGCGCGGTTGAGGGTCGATAAATTACAAGTGATAAACAGAGATGCAATTATCCATTAACGAGAGTGTACACGAAATTATATATTCTGGATATTACAGATGCACAAACTAGAAAATACCTCCCAAGAAATTCAGCAAATATTTTCGTTGAGCTTTTATCAGTAATCTACTCTCTGAGCATAATTTATTATCTATTATATTAAATACTATATTTTGTCACGCTGTGAAGAAGTGAAGAAATTTTATCACGAAAAAATACATTAACACATCGGCAATGATATCAATTACGACATTTTCAGGAATCTGACACGGTTCTGGGAATTTTCCGAGAGACGAATCTCGAATCTGAAATGCGGCATAAAGTCCAAAAGAAGGAAGCTCGAGTCTTCAAAAATACACTTCAAGTTTAGCGTATCAAGAGTTAAATATGCGGGCAAACCATTGATCGGTTCATAAAGAGGGACACGATATTTGTACAGGTGTGTAAAGTGGCACAGTAATGCTTAACCGCTCAAATACAATAGTCTTCTCCGGCATTTGTCGTAGCATTATATATTTTGTCGAACAACGGTAACTCGTGACGATCTACCGTCGTGTTTGCGAGTGACAACTGTACTGCGCCGCTGCACATGTGACGACGTTCGAATGTGCATTCTGGAAAATAACAATGTTGTTGCGCAAGTTCTCGACGAGAGATAATCGAGCCGATCAATTAACTTCGGAGACGGATCATATTTATATCGCAAACGACAATTGAAGTCCCAATGGGATCGAACGTATACATCTCTCGCGCTCTCCGGCCTTCTAGGAAATAATAAAAATACCGGCGTTTTCTTCGAGGACTCGAGAAATTACTATCTGCAAACACACGAAGCGACAGGCGATAAGAGGAACAATGACTAATAATAAGTCCGACGTGCAAAACGCAACAGCGCGCGAAACGTATCGCGCGCATTGATGTTTATTGCCGGCGTGAAACGTAGATTCGTTTGCGAGAGCGTGATTAACGTTTCTAGAAACCTGGCGTAATTCCGTTAATGAGAAAGTGATTGATTTGTCGTCGATTGACTACTCCCGCAGAAAATTCTGACTCAAAAGGGTCAAGGGAAATCGCGCTTGTGTCCCATTTTGCGCGTCGATCGAGGATAAGAAATTACACGTCGCGATAATGAAAGGCGCATATGCATAACCACTGTTATCGTTGCGAGCGATGAAAAATGGTCCTGTTACATTCGCGAGATGGTAGATGGATGTAAGAGTCGCGATAAATAGACAGGGGGTCTACTGGCGGAAGAATTATCGATGTTACGAAACGTTGTGATGTTTGTCCCATTCGATGTCGTGCTATCATGTAAATTTGTTTCACTCATTTCCTTGAGCTTAATTAACACAAGCGCGATGATGAATGGCAACACGCAAGATGCATACGCGGATATGCGACTGTTCGATTATGCATACAGCCTGTCTCATGCGCTTTCTCCCAACCGGAGAGATATTAACTCGATTAAAAAGTATAACGTTTGATTGAAGAATACACGATTAAAAAGTAAATTTGCGCAATTTCAAATTGTGATTAATTTTCATAAAATTTTATACGCCCTTTGTCGGTTAAACATGATTGTATTTTACTAAATTTAAAAAAAAATATTATCAGTTTTTCAACTGTTAAAAACTCGCGAATAAATGGCGTATCAATCAGAATATACAATTAAAAAGTAAACTCGCGGAATTTCAGATTGCGGTTAATTTTCATAAAATTTTATACGCCCTTTGTCGGTTAAACTTGATTGTATTTTACTAAATTTTAAAACAAAATTTTATCAGTGTTAAAAACTCGCGAATAAATGGCGTATCAATCGGAATATGCAATTAGAAAGTAAATTTGCACAATTTCAAATTGTGATTAATTTTCATAAAATTTTATACGCCCTTTGTCGGTTAAACTTGATTGTATTTTACTAAATTTTAAAACAAAATTTTATCAGTGTTAAAAACTCGCGAATAAATGGCGTATCAATCGGAATATGCAATTAAAAAGTAAATTTGCACAATTTCAAATTGTGATTAATTTTCATAAAATTTTATACGCCCTTTGCCGGTTAAACTGGATTGTATTTTACTAAATTTTAAAACAAAATTTTATCAGTGTTAAAAACTCGCGAATAAATGGCGTATCAACGTCAAGAATAGTTGTTATCTATGAGAAACGTAAAAATATATTTTCCAATGACATTTAGCCAATAAACTTGACAAATGTAGCACGCATGCAAGTATTCCTCACGTTTCGTATAAAAGAAGCTTATAAATTTCTCAAAATAACATTGTAAAATGTGAATAAAATCCCCCGCTCTGATAAACTCTGACTTTATTTCAACCCAAAGCACACGTGGATAACATTACGCTATTCGTTAATAATATTGTGACAGCGTATTGCAGGCTATATCGATACTATCTCTCGATATATCTGACACAAATATTTGAATAATGTGGAGAATTGCTCGAAAGAACGTAGGCGTCCCTAAGATTCCAGTTTCAGCTTCCTTTCGTCCGCGATCTCGCGGAGACGAGCACTTTCTCGAGAATACACGCGTTATATAGGAAGCAAGAAATTCGATTGCGAGCGGGTAATTGCGGAAATGTATATGCTAGTGAAATAAAATAAAATTTCGAGAGACTTTCTGCACGTATCCTTCGCGGTACGAGACTTCCGACCATTTCTCCGTAAACTTTTCAGCTAATCTCATTGCGATTTCTTATCGGAAGAGTCAGTTTATATACATGCACTTACCGGATCAGAGAGATACGAGTCCCACAATTCCTTGAGGTCGCCTGGTCCCACGTCGTAGAATGCCATGGTATTTGTTTCCTTTAGCTTTCCCGATAGTATAAGCGTCGCCGGTCAGAAGAACATGATATCCGTCCATGAAGGACGAAGGAAATTAAAGGACCGACATGATGACGCCACGGGAATTCAGCATCCTTCAATAATCTCACCGACTGGTAGATATCTGAAAGCAAAAGATCGTCCCACAATTTCGTGATATTTCATTGCGGATATCATTAATTATCTCTTTTATTCATTAAAGCGACGTAACGTGAGATCTGCAATTATACGCAGCGCGCTATTTAATTGCATTAAACGAGATCTCGAGATCCGCGAGAGCCTCTCTTGGGTCTCCCAAGATAAAGAAGCGCGTGACTCTTTATAGATTATTAACATATGCACGTACACGTATCCGTGACCTCACGCAGCGTGTGGCTTATTATCTAAACCGCGGCCGGTTTCGCGTTTAATGCCTTTTGTCCTATATTACTGAATGAGGCACAGTTGCATCGCAGGTTACGGCGCATTGTAACGAGTTCAATGGATCTATCTTTATATTAGCCAAGTATATATATTTGCGAAAAAATTTGTAAGAAAAGATGTTTCCAATTATTACATAGTAATGCATAAACGAATGCATGCAATTGTATAAAAATGGAGAAAAGTTTTACATTATATGTTAAATTATAATATATTTCTAATTGTGTACTTTAGAATTCTTTAAATTTTGATAACATTATATTATAATTTCTTTCCATTTATATATGTGTATTCTTGTTTATCTTTTTTTTCTCTCTCTTTATCTTTCTCTATCTTATAATTTCACACGTATAATTTTTATAATTTTTATAATTTTTATAATTATCGTATCGATAATTATATTTACAAATTAAATTATCTGAACCTCTTTATACTTACATTAGAAAGGTATGTAATATTAAGAATCTTTAGATGAGAGATGTCAATTGAAAACAGAATCTTGAGAAATTGAATGTGTGAGAAATTCAATTGAATTACTTCTCATATACTATATAACATGCATAAATGTTTGAAAATCACGATCGAGAAGACTTATTAAAGTATGTCGAGAATTTTAATTCGTTTTATTTGTCGGAAAAGGAAATTATATAGTGTGCCATATGCGGCGTAAATATCCTTTTCTAATCTGAAATCTGGTCTCTCTTTTAACCGCAGTTAGATCTTTGTACGCGCGAGATAATGTTTCCTCGTAAAAAAATTCATGCATAAGGAATAAGTAATTTTTATACAAATGAAGTTTGAGTTAAAAACTTGTTTGGATATAACAGGCGTAATTCTTAATCGGTGTGATTCTTATCTAAAAATATATAGTTGATGTAATCGCCAAATTAACATTGAAAACTAAATGTTAAAATAAATGTTGAAATAAAATTAATATCGAAATAATACAAACTGTTGACGAATTTTCGATATAATGTCAGCGTTGTATCAATCAATTAATTACATTTAAATGCTTCGCAAATTAAAAATCACTTTAGTTCATTTTGTTTAGACTACATTTTACGACAAAATTAAAGAAAGAATTTTACTAATTTATTTAATAAAATTATTAAATGGGAAACATTTAAAGATAACACTTAATACATATCACATAATACATATCTCTTATATTTGATACACATCTCATGTATTTGATACATACAAATATGCAAATATCTCTTTGATATGTTACATAATGATATGTTACATAATAAACAAAATTCTATCTTGAATTCTGCCACAAATTATATACTGTGTAAAAAAATTTTATACAATCGGAAAAAAAAGAAATTATTTTAAATATAGCATATATACCTACATAATTGTATTAACAATAAAAGAACATTATCAGCTTATTATGAATGCGCAATATGTTATATATAAAAAGATTATATAAATATATTTAAATATATTTAAATTAAATATATTTAAATATATTTAAATATATTTAAATAAAAAAAACATAAATATATTTAAAAAAAATATATATATAACTTAAATATAAATATAATAGTAATAAAAATGCATTGCATATTTCTCTAAGCTAATAATAAACTGGAATAAAAATATCGTATTCATTAAAGTTATTATCAGAGACAATATGGACTTTGAAGCATTTTTTTAAGTTGGCCTGGGATACTGACTGCTAAAGAGATTAATCGCATCCATGCATTTGATCACCGATTATGTTATGGAATGTAATTACAAGAATAATTACAAAAGAATATTAAGTTTCGATACCTTAATGAACGACTCGATCGATGTTAAATAGCATCGTTTTTTAATATTCATGCACACATATGGTATTTCAGAAACAGTTATACGTTAATATATGCTAATCATATTAAACTCTGTCAAAATACAGTTATTCTACTCTCTCTTCAAGCGCATACGTAATCTAAAAGTGATTGCAAATCCGCTTCTGCATCGGACATTGAGCACCAATGACAATATCATAACAATCCGTTAAGATTTGCGTCATCTTGTATCGCGCATCGCACGATACAATATCACGATATCTTTATCAAAGTTGCTGTTGAAAAAATTATTCATTTCCGCACATATCAGTTCCATTACTTTTATTAATAAGTCATCGCCGAAAGATTATTGATAAATCATCGCGCTCTCTCTTTTAGCTCTATTTTCAATCTTTAAGATTTTTTAGCATATGTCATCTTGCATGATATATTATCGTTTATTTTCCCGAATAACACTCGTTCGCGCAAATGTCACTTCTATATAATCATCTCGCTCGATTCGATCGACCTTTTAACGCGCAAATGATTCCACGTAATCGCAGTCGATATCGATCAGAATTGGCATTAAGAGAAAGAGAGAGAGAGAGAGAGAGAGAGAGAGAGAAAGAAAGAAAGATATATACCCGCCATTTCTATAAATCTTATAACGGCTAATCTTGTCGCTATAAAATCAATGCGTCAAACTTATTAATATTAACATCGCTCATTAGAGAGGTTTATCGCCATGAAACACGATAAAAAAAAGCCCGTTTTATTTTTCACATGCGACATTGAGAAATCGCAAGAGGGAACCGTGCGATATCGCCGCGAGAATTAAATGTCAAGAATTTTGATGTGAAAAATACAGCGAATACATTTATCAATATTATACGCGCGGCTCTCTCTCTTTTTCTTATTGAAAATTAATCGATTCTTACGGTATCTTCCTTGGAGCTATCTCGAGAGGCCTTCGTCGATCGAGGCGAAGTTCCACATTCCACGAAGGCTACATCACTCGCCTCGATCGCGTCTGAAAATCTCTCGGGAGCTCATCGCGCTCATCGTTATCTCGAGTAGCCGCGCGCGGGATGACCCCTACGCAAGATGAGAGGATCCGGTCGCGATGCAATCGAAGAGCACGCCAGATGGAACGGAGCGCCGGCTCGACGTGCACGTGCACCGGCTCGTACCAGGGACGCGTGATACCGGGACGGAAAAATTAGCGATGGGAATGAAAAACAAAGAGGGGCGGAGGGGGGGGAAGGAAGGAAGGGGACGACAGATTGTACGTGCAATCGCGCTGTTACTCACCGTTCGAGCGGAGGGGAAGGAGGAAAAGCTCTCCCCGGTGGCCTCCGGCGCGCGGGATCACAGGACTGTCGTATATTAAGGCACAATGCACACTGTATACCGCACGATGCAGCGGCGACGGCGACGTAGGCGCCAATGAACGCGCGAGAAAGCGGGACAGAGCGCGGGGGATCGATAGCCCGCACCCACGGAGTTTGCGGAGTCGCCAATCGCGCGACCGCAGAACCTCGCAAACGCGTACGCACGCACGCACGCACGCACGCACGAGTCGCTGTCACACGCAGCTATCGATCTTCTCGAGGCTTCGGCGGCGCGATCCGTTCGTCTGGTGAGCGGCTGGAACCGCAACCGAGGGCTGCTCGTCGGACGGATGCGCGCGCTACGACGTTCTCCGCGTGAATGCGGGAGCAGCGGCGCGGGGCCGCACGTGCCGGCGCCGCCGAGGCACTTTAATCGCCGCCGCTCGGCCAATCGCGATGAACCACCTGTTACTAGCGTAGTGAGTTATCAGCTGACAGTGAACGGCCGCGCGGACGCTGCGCGCGCAGCTCTGTCGCAGCTGTGACGCGCGTCGCCGGACTTTTAAAAGCGCGCGCGAGCCCCGCGGCCGCTCAGACCGACGGCGCTTCGCGAACATGTCGCATCGCGGGAAACGCAACGCCCACGATGGGAAATGGAAAATGAGGCCGGTGGATTGTTGTAAGACGCGGGAGAATGATGAGGTGACGCGTGGGAAATGGGCGCGAGGAAAGAGGAAATTTAGCATATGTCACTGGTAGACAATGCTCTCGTTGATTGCGTCTTGTTCTTAAAATGGAGGGATCTCTTTGAAGCGTTCGGAATGAAAGAGCGATTTATTTGCCGCTCCGATTCGTAAAGCGAAGTCGGGAATATATGCGCCAGCATGATAATAATAGCTTGGGATTAATGGGTCTAACGGTATGCGGGTGAAGAAAGCAATGCGGGCAATCGATGCACATACATATACATATATACGATGTATGATGAGCGCATTGGAATATGCACTTGATTCTGAGGCAGACTGACTATGATTACCGTACTTGATTACGACGATACGATCAATGAAAATGCTCAAATGTAATTTCTTATAATCTATTCGTTTTTGCAATTTAATTGCACTTTCTAAATTTTTTTTCTCTTTTTCTAACATGCATACAGAATACGTCTTAAAAGTGTCTTCTTTCAAATGGATTTTTTCTAATTAAATATTTAGTTTAATGTTATTTTTTGCAAACTTTTATATTTTAATGTTAAATATTTTCAATTTATTAAATATTTTCAAATTCTAGAAGATAAATTTGATGTACATGTTATATATATTGACAGGAAACACCAGTTGTCACATGAAAAACTTTCTAGTCGTTTAAAATTCGAAAATTAATTCAAGGAAAAAGGCAAGTTTGTTATATTGGAAGAAATATGCAATTCTTATACTCGGAAAAAGAGTTTTTTTAATTGAAATATTTAAGTCAAATATATGTATTTAATTTAAATATATTTAATAAAAATATTCTAAAATATTTCAACTAAAAAAATTATAATCAACTATAATAAACGCACTTAGTTAAATTAAGAATTTTCTTTTCTTAGTACAAACTATAACTTTCGCGCAGCTTTGTTGATATAGATCTTCTCTATTTGCGCGTTTGGCACTGCGTGTGCCAAAACATGCTACATAGTTGCAGATATATCTGATGTAATATATTAAATATTTAATGTAGACTAAACTGAAATCTGCACAATCATTATTCCAAGTAGAGCGATGAATGAAAATAATAAATAGACTTATAAGAAAATCAGGTGATTAACAAGTGTCTCAATTTCCATATGCTCCGAGACTTATCATTATGTAATTATGTTTGCAACTTGAAAAACTGCGCTTATCGCAATTTACGTCATAGACAGGAACGATAGAATCCGACGCCGGATATTCAATCAGCAGAAAGAGGTCTTACCTCTTCTTTGTTCATCGCCGTTCTCGTTAAAACGACGCTCTGACGATGTTCCCAGATGCGTTTCTGCGCCGCGGACAGAAATCATCCGCTCCCTCTCATACGAATATAAAATTACAGCACACATTGTTGCGACAATTTAACCCGGTCTGTTTGCTACGTCGACTCACCTACATCGATAAAGCACCTCTATCGATTTTGCAATTATCTCATGACCGTAGTGTGTTCGTGTATCGCTACATACATACATGGGTCCCGCGATGATCATTTCTGCTCTAATAATATCCGAACAATCTACGGAAATATATCGCGTGTTATACGTCTTTAATGCCGGATTGGCATTTAGGCTCCTATCGCGATTATCTATATAGACGCCACGTATGGAAGAAACATTGAGTCATAAGGTATGACGCCGTCGCTATTTTTGTACGCTACGCTATTTGCGGCGCTATAACGCCGCAAATGCATGTGTTTAGGTTCTGGTTGATTTTTCAAAATAAAGTTTTTATTTCGATTTTGTTTCTTACATCGTATCAATGTCGTCCAAATTCACACACTAGTAGTAGAAAATCGCGTGTCATTAATTACATACACGCTTGTCTGCAATACAATTCTACATATATATGTATATTTATGCATGCTTCTTTTTTTCTTTTTTTTTTTTTCGTATCAGGTACAATACAAGGCTGAACAAAATATATGACTATGCGATTTTGTTCCGATTAAAATCTACTTCTCGATAACGTTATCGATTATCACTTGAAATTGTATGCCTGTTTGTTCACTCGTGTGTAGTACCCCTTTTGAATTATATACACAGAGTAACTTATAAGATATATTTATAATATATGTATATATATACATACATACATGTATGTGTGTGTATGTATTTCGTAAAATACACTCTAATTTCAGTGTTTCTCTTTTTCTCTCTCTTTTTTTTCTTTTCTCGTTATAGCAAAATAAACTCTTGCTTATAATATATAGTATCTCTGTGTACCGACATATAGCAAGCTAAACGTTAGTTTTTAACGCACGTTGCAGCAAATAGTACAATTAATCTATCGCTTGTCCGTGATTAGATTAGCCGGGACAAATTAATTGTACAAAGATACAGATATTTTATGGGGAGACGTTATATCGATTAAAAAACAAAAACGTCTCTCGATAAAACAACATCAAAGTAATAAGTAATAATAAGCTTCAAGAGCGTCATTAATCCCATTAAGACAAATAAGTCAACATGAAAGTTTACATAATTTCCTTAGGCATCGCGTAATGAGATGACGTATGCATAAAAAAAACGAAAAATATACGTGTAGGTTATTAATGAATTATGCGCGCGCGCGTGACAACTCGTGTACGTCTAGATATTAAGTGTAGTAACGCGTGTGCTCTTAAAACACCCCTTTTAAAGCAGATCGTAATAACGCGTTGCGCATCGACGTCACCAATTTCTCCAGCTCCTCGACCTTCATCTTCAGTACTTTGTTATCCCTCTCCAGCTCGATCGCCCTGACGCTCATTTCCGATTCCTTGGCCTTCTTATTCATCCGCGATCTTCGCGATGCCTCGTTGTTCTTCTCCCGACACTCCCTATACTGCGACAGGCCGATATCGTCCTCGGAATCCTCGCTCTCTTCGTAGTACCTCTTCCTTCCGTTCTTGTCCCTCGTCTTTGCTCTACTGACGATTGCCTCCGTTTCCTTGCTACTAGTTTCCTTGATACTAGTTGTCCTCGTCCTCTCCGATCTACGGAAGACGGGAGGAGCTTCTACCGACGACGAAGTCACCGTCGACGTTGCACGTGTTGACATCCTCCGACGCGTTGGTTGTATCGGTTCGTTGGTCTCCTCCTCAATCTTCACCTTCGTGGGAGTAAACGAGCTTAATGGTGGTAACACCGTCGCGTGCGACCTGAGTTTTATGGCCGAGGAATCGGTACTGCCTTCCAGTGAACGCATTTCATCCTGCAACGAAGTCATGATTTCATCAGTGTCGAAAATTGGTCATAGGAAAATTTTAACGTGATTAATTAACCGGCAACTTACGTCGCAGAGGTATGACAGCAGGTCGAAGGTGTCCGATCCGGTCGTCTCGATCGTACGTAACTCATCCCACATCTCGCGCTGATCTGCGATGGTGTCCAAAGGTGAAGTCGGGCAGGCCAAATCGCCGCCCGCGCGATACTCGGGTTGGAGCATCGCGTCGACATCTGCGTTACGTTGTTTACTCGATGCGGTACTTGTAGAAGCTACAGATTCGGGTGACATCAACCACGAGCTGGTTGCGTTCTTCTTCTCGTTGTTATATCCTAATCCGTCGTTAACCAGTTCTGATGGAGAGAGCAGCAAATGACGATTGTCACCTGACTCTTCGATTGTCTTAACGGTATTCATTTTTAAATTCAGCTTCTCATCATCAGTCGCACTCTTCAAATCCTTTAATATTCCCTCCTCTTCCACAGTCGAAACGCCGTTACCCTCGTATTTCGTACCTAGAATACAGTCATACGAATATTCCACTCGCTCTCGCAATTAATAAAATAAAAACAATTAACATTAATTTAGTTAAAAAGCCTGTGAGCGACAATTGAACGATTTATTGTCATTTCAAGTAAAAACGCAAAGGTAACCAAAATTAAATAATTGGAAACATTCCGGTAATTTATTGTGCTTTTTCAGCCCGAATAAATTTGAAATTAAACTAACAAAATTTTGAAATAATAATCAAAACATCACAAGAGGTCATACATCCTCACATGTTCAATATTATCGCTATCATAAATCTATCGTGTAAAGTTGTATAAGTTAAATAAGCATTCTTCTTCTTGTTCTTTCTCTCGTATCTATATCAAAAAATTGTTGTTATTTTTTCAACTTGAAGTAGTAAAAAATAACCAATAGAACACTTCTTATTATGAATAGTGTTGAAACATCAGAAGATATCAAATTTTTTTATTAAAGTTTTTTTTCAATAATTTTTTCATTAGAAAACAATTTTCTAATCTGATGTTAATATATTTATTATAAATAAGAGATGTGGTAATTATTATATTTATGTGTAATGGAGATTTCCACAGAGGATTGGGAATACATAAATTTAAGTTCAAAGTTTATGGTAATCAAAAGTTCTGCCATAGGCATGTCTATTTTTTTATTGGGACCATCTATTTTTCAAGTCGGAACAAAATAAAAATTATAGTATAGTGCAATTTTTTTTCTGTATAAACATGTATAGATTACCTGATAGTTTAAACGTAGTCGATTCACCTATACGAAAATCGCATTGAACCTGGAACGGGTCCATGCACCAACTGCTCAGATCCTGAAAGTCCTCCTCCCAAGCGGGGAATGTTGCGGTGCCCTCTTCTTTTATAGATGAATTTGTTTTTGTGCGCGGGAACGTCCAGGGCGCCTTCAAAAATTCGGATTCCATTGTCGGGCTTAGGAGAGGCATCGTCTCCACCTTCGTCGAGGTGACATCGCCCAGTGGCCGCGATCTCACGCCACGAGTAACAGATAACGGCTGCGGCTGACGGTTGCATGATTTTGATACCTAAAAGGTGGCATCTTGCCGTGAATATCCGATCGTCCGAGAGTCCCAGATCCTTTTTCAGGGTTCTCTCCGAGCAGTACTTACGTTATGAACACCTCCTTCCTCTGAAATGTTGCTGGTTGTTGGACGTTCGTAGATGGGAGGGATTTTGGAAACCTAAAATAGATAAATCCGATTCAGTGCGATAATCAAATTGTCAGTTTAATCATATCTGACGTTGCGAAATTTATTTACAAATGGTAGTTAATTACATTAATGTCTTTCAGTACAAATATTTTAGTGGGTGGATCTATAGCGTGGGCGCGCTTTTAATACATTATATCGATAACAATTCCAAGAAACACGGAAAGTTATTACATTTATTATACATATAATCTGATAAAATTATATCAAGCAACATCCACATTTCTGTCTTTACGTTGAACAATAAGCAAAATAGTAATTTATCACGATAACATCGTTCTGGTATATGTTCCGAGAAGTCGATCCTATCTTAAGTTAAATGATTATATCTGCGTCGCATATGTAAAGTGTTCCAGGAATCTTGCAGTTCTTTAATTAGATAAAATTTATTTTAACGAATTGGAAGTCAATTTTCGCTCGGCAAAAATTGATACCGAATCGTGACTTATGATAAACCTCTCATGCGATTCTGCTTAGTCATCTGCGAGCCGCTCCAAAATCTTGCGTCACGACTTCCTATATATATGTGTGTGTGTGTGTGTGTATGCAATTTATCTTATCTGTATACATCTTCTTTCGCGATTGTACATGTTAGTTCAGCCATTAGGAAAGCAAATATGGCTTGTTGTTTTCGATACACGTTATCGTTTTAAGAGTTTGCGACAAATTTTTTTCATTTTCATCATTCCCGAGGTAATTTAAACGTAATCGCGCCTTATCTCATCGGGCCACTTAATAAGGAGAAACATTTCCTCGTTACATAAATAATTCTTGTCAAACGTCAACTCACGCGTTTTCCCGAGACGTATCCGACTTTAAGGCGCACTGCGGGAAAAACGACGAGTCGTCATCTAAGCCGACCGGTTACGTAACTCTGTGGTGGCGTCTGAAAGCATGTGACTCCGATTTTCGCGGGATCGACGCGAGTTACATCATTCCGCGGCGCGTTCCTCGGAATTTGCGATCCCGGCTTCTGATCTCGCAAGGCCAACCTTATCGTCGGAAACACTCTAAAAGAAATTACGCATCCGTGTGACGCGAAAATATATAGTCGCGCCGACGACGACGACGACGTCAACACGCGCCCCAATCGATCCTCCGCGACTACGCAGCACTTTTCAACAGTCGGCGCGCTTCCCGTCGACGGTCTGGCGAGACGTTATTTTATTTCTTTATCTACTCGCTCGGCCAGGTGATTACATAACGCGCGCGAATCGCTCGTCTATATATCGAGAAATCACGGGATCTCGAGCGGACGCAAACAATGACTTACTTACCCTCCCTGGGACGATTGGTGTCGGTGTACCTTCCACTTGGGGGCTGAGTAAAGCTGCGGAAAAGGAGATCAGAAACGATCGATTCGTCGTTTGCTCGCACTGGTAACAAACCCTTTTTCCCTCGCTCGTCTCGCGCGGGCGATGTGTCAGAATCAGGTGGACGTGCGTGGGATGCTGCGTACAAGTCTGTCGTGTCTAGTCGCTTTGATCGTCGCCGTTGAAATGCGGCTCGGGAGGCGGTAGTACCGGGTTAAACCACGTCACGGGACGGCGTTGGGAGAGCGTACCGTCGTGGTGGACGTCATCCGCGGCGAATCGGAGCCGCGGTGAGCTCATCGCGTACGAATCGGAGCGATTTGCGGCGCCGTCGCGGCGCACCGTCCGGAACACGTCATGTGCGGAATTCGAGACGATAATCTCTTTGGGAGTCGATAATTTATTGTTCCTTCGCGTGCTTTCTCGCCTGCTGCCGCCTGTTACTCCAGGCGTTTTTTCCATGCCGCTTTCATGTTATCGATCATTTATTGTAACAAGCGTAATTTCACTATTATTTCTACTTCTCGAAATCGAAATCGTCCAGAGCAGCCGGATACACTTCATTTTGCCGTATCATCGTTGTTTATAACAAAAAATCTCTCGATAATATATCGATGAGTCATAGATAGACAGAATTAATCACGTGCTATTGTATAATATAGCGGCGAGTGGGTCTCAGGTAGGGATCCAATTTGGAGTTACTATCTCGAGAAATTTCGGACAGAGAAAGTATGGCAACCGGATGCAACAGTAATTGCTCAGCAACAAATAGGAGAACGGGAGATCGATGCGAATGAATCTGATTGACAAAAATCTTATATCAAATTTGATTCTTTCTTTAACATTATTAAAAAAAAGAGAAAGAGAGAAAGAAAATTATATATAATATAACATGCGTACAAAATACTGTTCAAAAAAGAAACGCAAAATATTGCGACGATAAGATTAAATATCGCTCGCAAAGTACATATATAGTAATATGACAGCAATAAAGTTACTACTTTAATAATACATCGTCCAATGTTATCGTGCCTCGGTTGCAACCAAGTTACGAAGAGCAGTAACTAAATAGCGACTAGATGGAGTTGCCAGTATAATACTGAGAGACTCGATGTGTACTTTTATAATATCATTGGGAAATTGAGAAAATACAATTTTACAATTATTTAACAAAATAGATAATTGTTACGAATTTTCAACATTTATTTTTATTTAACGTTGATTACGAATTATAAATATAAATATTGTATAAAAAACAAATTTATAAAAAAATAAGTAAAAAATTGTGCATTAAATTTAAGAAACACCTATTTAGAGATATTATACATTAAGATTCCGATTTCGAAAGCCGGTTTCTTCCATGAATTCGGTATATAAGGAAAGAGAATAAATTTTGAAGGGTCTCTGCAGTGACGCATACCGCATTCCAACGATCTTTCCTTTTGCTCATGTATATAATTATCATAAACACACATCTCGCAAACTAATACAGTCTCCGAAATGGGATTCCCTACGTGACATCAGATAATTCTGTAATGGTTCAACGAATTTCGCCAGATTTCATTTCCATACTATTTTTCCACAATATTTAATCTTACAAATACAACTGAAATATATATTTTGGAGAAAAGTTATATAAAATTGAAGCTTTTTTATCTGATTAAATTAAATTAATTTTAAGTTATTAATGAATATGTATGTATAATATGTGTATTATGTATGTATATTCGTGACATTTGAACATGTCTTATGGCAATTGTTTTTTTTTATTGATCAGGCATATTTTAAATTGTATTTAGCGTGAAATAAATTTTCATAAAACTAAATTTTCATAAAAATTTCATTAAACTTTTCATAATATACAAAGGACAAACAAGTAAGATTGTAGATTTTATTTTGAAGAATTATAAAGTATTATATTCCATAATCTGTGCAGATCTTTGCAGATGTGCGATAAATACAATTCTGTGAATTCTTATCTTGGATTAAAAATGATTATCAGTAGAGTGCGAAAATAAAAAGTACTCTCAAATGCAACATTTATGATGAATCGAAAACAAGATGCCAATTATGAGGATCGTATAAAAGTATTATATCAATATTAAATACACGAATTTAAAAATTATTTTTCTCTCCTGCTCTCTGCTAAATATTAACCAAGCTTGGCATATTTTAGTTTATAATTACTTTAATGACTGGAGATTATGCAAAAGCTCGGGAGTTTGCAAATCGACGTAAGGATCAATTAATTTTACTTTAATACTGTACGTACATAATTATCATCTGATTAAAATTAAAATTAGTAAACTGATAGATAAGTTTAATTTTAATCACATCAAAATTTAATTTTACTAATAAGTATTGAAGCACGATCGGAATGATGCGGATGTTACCAGGGCGCTTAATATTCTGGAGCAGAAAAATCAACATAGTACGTTTCTCATTTCATATTCCATCCCACGTTATTCGATGCTATTCTATTTTCTTTTAATATAACAGAAATAGAAGAGGGTGAAAGGTTGGGTTCCATTGACGTCCCAATTGACTGTGACAATGAATGCGAGGGATGTGACGCAATTGGCGAGGACGCCGATTTTGTAGGCGTTAACGCGGATAGTCGCATCGATCCGAGAATGATAAGTAAAATTGCGTCGTACGACATGTTTCGATTGAATATCGATAAAGCCAAGACTAATCTGAATTTTAAACAGAGAATGCACAGAGTGATACCGATAAAAATAAATGGAGAGACTACAAATAAATTGTTGCACCTGAGTTCAAATGAATAGCATTCGGAGCATTCTTACAAGATAATTTATAATACGCTTATGTACGGAGTATGAATAAAATGGGAATAGGGCAACATTTTATTTGAAATACATTTTATTAATAAAAAACAACTATTTGTTAAAGTTTTTACAACATAAATGAGAAAACAGCGTGGTTCGGTGCACACTCGCCGCGCAGACAACGCAAAACAGAGTTCATCGTTTGCGTACGTCTGGCGGCTTTCTTTACATTCCCGTTTTTACAAGGAGATTATCGTCGCGTGAGAGAGTACACTGTAAAAGTTCCCAAACTTTCTTCAATCATCGCGAATCAAATCTTCTCACGTCGCAGGCGTCATTTTCAGGCGAGACCTCTCCTTTTCTCTCCACCCCTGATTCCCTCGCACTCGCTGAAATGAAATTTGAAATCTCGCCAAACTCTCAACCCTCCCTCTCTCGTCCGCGTTCGTGCATTTATTATATTACAACGATGATGCGTATACCTCTTTCGAGCAACAAAATATAAATCCACGCACGTATATAGTTATATTAACATATACAAGCACACACAGTTTCTCTCACGTACGCACCGTTAATCGTACGGGTTAATAAAAAAGGGGGGGGGGAAGGAACGGGGATGATGGTGATGGTGATGGTCCTTAACGCACATATGTCTATTAAATTACAAAAAAATTACAACCTCGCGCATAAGTCTCTTTATAATCATTGAACACGCATCGAATTTCACTTCACGAAGGACGGACGGGTCCCATTTGTTTCGTTTTTTTATTTTATTTATTTTACGCGCCTCGGACTTCTGGCTTTTCGAGTAAACGCGTGCCGAAGCGACGATCGGGGCACGATCTGCCGATCGTCGTTCCAGGACTCTTGCGTCGGTCGCCGGACGCGCGTCTCTTGCGGATCGACGGCTTGATTCCGAGATTCCGCGGCTCCGATCGAGCCTCCCTCTCTCTCTTTCTCTCTTTCTCTCTCTCCTCTCTCGTCACGTCCGGTCGCCCGATCTAGACGACCGCGGATCTCGGCGCCGTCTTATCGAGGAGTATGTAATAAATAACACGATCCGTCGATCGGGTTGGAGCAACGACGGCGACGTCGCACGAAGGATGAGATACCGTCGTCGCTTCGTCCGATTACACCGATATCTCTCGCATTTTCGTACTCTACGTTGGCATGAAAGTCATTCGGTTCTACCCGGTCACTGGCCTTCGCTGTCGCTGTCGCTCTTATCTGCAAAATGGACATTTCGTAATGTTATTTCCTGCGCCGCAACACGCTCGTTTCTGTGATAGCTTTCTGTGACGGCTTAGCAATTTGTCGTTACGTTAATCAAGTAATAACGGAAATTTGTTACGTGTTCTATGATGGTAAAAAGACGAGGTGTACGCGTCGAATTGAAATCGATCGATAAATAAATGGCCGGCAAGGCCGTGCGTTGCATCCGATCCTGTCGGCAGTAATTTTCGGACGATCGCCAAACGTGCGATGAGCAACGGCGTTGATTAGTATGATTACGAAGGTAGTTGCGGGATTGTACCTTTTTTACCGGTATACGCATGACGCTTCAGTCTGTCGTAAAGATCGTCTTTCGTGCCGTAAATACTGGCGTTCGATCGGGCGAGACTATTCATCTTGCCGTTGTGCAGACTCTCTGTGAAGAGAAAGAGAGATTAATGAGCGCTCGCAGAACGCATTGCGATATAAAACATAATGTAATCTCGAGTCGTATATTTCATTCGCGAAAATAACTATTGTAATATTTACCTCGCGCGACATTACGTCAGTGTAAATTGTTATCTTGAGTTTGCGCGTAGAATATTTTCAGCTCACCTTTCATATAAGTCTCGTTATAGAAGTTGGGCATCTCCCATCCATCCTCCTCGTCGTCGTAATAATGAGCATATGTGCTGTGATGTGACGGCGCTATCGACTCGGCGTACGGTGTGGGCGCACCATAATAGAAGTTTACCTGAGAACCATTCTGGTCGGTCGCTGGGGTGAGCATCTTCTTCGGTTCCTTCTTCCTGGACGCTCTGTTGAATAGAAATATTGCTGACAGTTATCGACATCAAATATTAATTTATAAAATTAACCGATAAGAAGAGTATTGAATTTTTAACATTGATAATTATTAATTGATAGAAAGCTATTTTCGATAGTATTTCTAGATCGTGATTATTGCAGACTCTCGTGGATTAGCTTCAATTTTTTACGCTAACCTGACGCAAATCATCCAGACGAGCAGCACCACGATGATTATCAGAATAACGCCTCCCGCGATGCCGCCGGTGATGTAGAAGAATTCAGATTTCTCGGTGCAATGTCTGCCAGTGAAGCTGCCGCTGCATCTGCACGAGGGTTGTCCGCGCGAGTCCTTCAGACAGACACCCTCGTTATCGCAGTAGCCAAGACAAACGTCCGTACAGACGGTTCCGGTGCCATTGTATCCGGGCTTGCACTCGCATTTGAAGTCGCTCGTTTCAGGTATAAGTAGACAATACGCGTTTGCGTCACATTGCATCTCCGCGCTGCTCGTCTCGCACGGGTTCGTGCAGTCTGATTTTTTCGTCTGTCAACAGACAGTAAATATTAGTAAATATTAGTAGCGTTATTTCAATTTTTTATTCATTCATTCATTTTATTTTTATTTCGTTTATTTGCCGCATATACAAGGTGTCCTATTTTAACTTTCACACTCGAATATCTCGAAACCATGGCGGTTTCGGTGAAAATGATTTAAACAAAAGTCGTATGGTTTTAAGGGGGCTATAAGATGGTGTCATTGGTTTTACCTTGAAAAGTCGTTCAAGGTTAAGTAAAGATCACCCTCAACTTTTTAAACGGAACCCTCTATTTTTTATTACTTATTCTTATAGCTTATCTCGAGAGCTTTTCAAAACACTATAATAAAGTATTTCTTCAGTGAGAACCTTTCGAGTTATAGGACTTGAAATAATTTCTTAATTTTACATAAAATATCTAGTAAAATATTCATTTTTCGATTATCTTACCTTAATACTTTTATGTACAAAATAATAAGAGGAATCAATTGGTGTAAAGAAAACACCATACAACCTTAAAACCATACAACTTTTGTTTAAAATATTTTCACCGCCATGGTTTCGAGATATTCGAGCGTGAAAGTTAAAATGGGACACCCTGTTAATTTAATATCTCCGGAATTATATTAATATTAGAGAGAAAAAGAAGAAAAGAAACTCACAGCAGCGGATCCTTTGGTGCTGGTGTTGGGCGGGCAAGGGATGCAGAAGGTTTGCTGTGGTTCCGACTGATACGTTCCCTTCTTGCACTCTATGCAATCGTTGAGGCTTCCGTTGAGGTAAGTTCCGGGCTCGCAGACGGGAAGCGAGCATTCTTCGATCGCGGCAGATCCCATGTTCGGAGTCGTTCTACCGAGAGGGCAAGGTTGACAGGACGCTTGCACTCCCTGTGTGCGATAGGTGCCACGCGGGCAGGGCTCGCATTTTCCCTCGACGGCCAACTGCTGTCCGGATCCGCACTCGTCCCGACATTCCTCGCGGGACACCGCCTCGGCGGTCCTCGTGGTCTTCCCAAGACCGCACAGCAGGCACGAGAAGCTGCCCTCGTTCGGCTGGTAGAACCCGTGACCGCAGTTGCGACAGAGACCGACCACGTCGTCGTAGTACTTGCCGGCAGGACATCGCTCCTTGCAATCAGCCGCGCTACGAGCGCCAGGACCCATCGTCACGCTGGGACGACCGGCGATTATCGGGCAGGAGTTGCATTTCAACTGCCCGGACTCGCTCTGATAAGTGCCCATCGGGCAGGACACGCACTGCATCGTTTCTTCGTCATAATAAGTGCCCACCGCGCATGGTACTGCAAAGAATATACGATTCAGATTTTTCTTCATACTATGATATTTTAGAGGAATCGATAACATGTTTTTCTTCAATATATTTATCGGCTATCTAATTATAACAGATATGTTGAAAAATTATTTTTTATATTAAAATTGAGTATGAAATTTTTTTAATACTAAATTGCTTAAGAGTATTAACTGTATCTTTTTTTTAATAAAAAATCTTGCATTTACAAAGTGTATTTCCAAAGGAATATTTCTACATCGTAGAATTTTTTATTTTGTTGAAAATATAGTTTCCCATTGTAACCATAATTCGGCTTACCGCAATCCGGCGCCATGACAACTTGTCCTATCGGGCAGGCATAATCGGATTCCAGGATGAGAGACGCAGGATCCGGCACAGTGTTGGGCAGAATATCGTGAACATCGAATTGATCCTCTTCTAGAATCAGTTTCTCGAGCAACATTTGCACGGTCGAGCGCTCGTTCGAGTTGGCGTTCAGGATCGGATCGCTGCGAAATACAAACGAGAGTTATTATTTTGAAAAATGCCATGTATGCGGTAGCAACAGGCGTGGAGCGATTTGCGCAAATATATACAGCCGTTATCTCGAGGCGAGTGTAATTAAGGCAACCTTATCTTTGGAGCAGGATTCTCGTCAGTAGTCTTGCGTGCCACAGGTTAAACCGCACTCATACCCTTATTGTAATTATAATTAATACATGTCAACTTGGTATTCATTGACTGTCACGTCAATAACATGAATTGCCAATATATGTCGGAATTGTAGTTATAATCATAAACCGACAATTGGACTCTGTAGCGTAGGCTACAGAGATTAATTTTCAATTTAATTAGCTGCAATTTTTATTTCACAATTTATTTGAATTATTATTTTTGTAATCTATTAACATATTGAATAATAATTTTCTTCAAAAAAATGATAAATGATTTCACAACTTAATTATACGAATTTTGTTGTATTATAATTACTATCGAAATATGTAGACTTGTTGCAGCTTATGGTGAAATTTCCAAAATGATTCCTGCATATATAGTGATTAGTTAGTAATAACGTGCACACGAGCTTTTACTTTTGTTTACAATTTGATCCGACACTTGTCCCCGTAGGATTAGTCGTTAGTATGATTTATCACTTTTCGATGTTGATTATACAAATCTGAGTTATGCACGATTAACATAGAGGACACTAAAACATACAATTACACGCGGGAGATTGTTATAAACTGCACGCTATATGACTGTTTAGAATGATAACGTATTAGAGTGATGTCGAGTGGCGGGTAAGACATGTAAATGAAAATCGAATTGCACGTAGCATGAATCGAGCTGTCCTTACTTTATCGCTGGGAACGAGATCTCCACCTCGTAAGTGTCACTGCCTTGGCGACCCTGTCTCGTTCTATGATGCAACACAAGTAACAGAAAAATGCTCAGTATACTGAGATTCACTAAATGGAACGCGCGAAGACAACACACTTGTCAAAAAATGCGTCTGACAATTAAAATGACCGACATGTGCGAGACACAAAAAAAGCAAGCCATGATTTACGATCTTACAGCAAGCTGTAATTATTTTGCGTACGATAAAAATGTATTTAGAACATTTGACACGCTGTAAAAATTATCAATTAAACTCGCGAGCGTCGAACAAGGCGCAGAATTTTCGAAAACGCTTAATTAGAAAATTGCAATAAGTTACTTACGGTTCTGCGGGCACAATGGCGGAAACAACGTACGTTCCGCCATCTTCTTCGCTCGTTTCTCTTGTCGTCCGTACGCGATGATCGCATTGCACATCGATATTAAGGTCTTTGCACTCGCGAGTTCCTAAATGAAAAAATTTTAAAAATTAAATTAAATTTTAAAAATTAAATTAATTTTAAAAATTAATATTGAAAATGTATGAAAATGTATGTACCTTTATATGAAATGAAATTTCTTTGAAAATTATGTATTACCTTCATAAGAGTACGAACAGAAGTTCCAGTCTCTGTTTAGTGAATTCACAGCATTTCGAACCTTCTGCTTGAGCACACCCTGACCGGCCTCGTTACAGAGCACCGATGTTGGGAAGTTCATCTTAATTTTGAAGACTCTTTGCGCTGACGTAGAGCCTGAAGAAATATATGTTTATTAAATTTAAGAAACATAAAATTACTATATATCTCAATCAAACGTGAATTAAATGATTACTTGTACAAGCCGGATATACGAGAGGTAGACTAGGATCATTGGTGGGCCTCCAAAAGCCTTCCGCACCGCATGTGTAAAACTTGGGAACCTCCTGCGAAAACCGAAGTCCGGTGTTACAAGAAATTTCACAGACTTTGAATTGACCTCCCGAGCCCCAGTCTTTGCACTGCTGCGTGCCACCGATGGGATCGTCCAGCATTGGACAGAATTCCGCTGTAGCAAAAAGAATACGATAAAATTTTGAATAATTCGCACACAACTCGACTTTGGAAAAATATTTTTCAAATAAATATTTTATCATTTTTTTCTGATGGTATTAAATAAGGAAGATTTCACTTACATAATACGTAAACCTTGAAATTGCAGCTGGCTGAGTTTCCAGTCTGATCGTAAGCCACATAACTAATATCGTAGGTGCCCCACATCAGAGTCTGTCCAGATCGGTGTCCGTTCTTCTCCTGTATCTTCGTGACGCCGACGTTGTCGCTGAAACGCGGTTCGTCCCAGGTGACGATGGACGATCCGTTTCTCGCGATAACCCAGAGATCGCCCGGACAGTGCTCCACCTTGGGCGGAATCTTGTCGGCCTCGAGTTGCTGGCATCTGTTGCCACCGTAACCAGGTGGACACACTCGCTGCCCGCAATGTGACGGCACGATTCTCTCGACCCCACCTACGGTCTCGTCGTATCCTGCCCATGTCAGTACCAGACCCTGATAGAGAACCGGCTCCGTGCGGCAATCGCGCACTTGTTTCTGAATTTCATTCGTCACGTGCAACGCGCGGCCCCAGACTTGCACCTTGGTCAGGTGCCCTTGGAAGCCCGATTCCGTGTAGCCTTTTATGTTTTCGCTTTGTGGTTTACCTAGCACGGCCCATGCGCTGCAAGAGAAGACATTTCTTTAATTACTATCAAGAAAAGTTATTAAAATATTTTCGCACAATTTTTTGCAGATGTATGAAAAGGTGTTTTCGATTTTTAAAGAGATACTTACTACGCTGGAAGTGATCTGCCGCTACCGTAACCCTCGGTCTTGCTAGCGATGAGGCCCTCCGTGATTAGAGTGAGTTCTCCCCCATTTTCTCCGTTCCATACAACTGCGACGTGATGCCATTGTCCATCATTTATAGTCGCGTATTCTCTGAATGGCAGATATACGTCTTGCAAGTCGTGGAAAAGGGATATCTGAACTCCATTACTGTGTGCTTGCATCATAAGCTTGCGGTTTGTTGGAACGTGTGGCGAGCTGAACAAAGAATATTACAAATATAAATACTTATAATTTACTTGAAAAAAAATAATAGCAAGATATTTTATGCAAAATAAATTGTTAAAGACAAAAGTGCAAATGCATTTACCTGACGCTATAAAGAGTGAAGAAAATTCCAGCTTCATCTCTCTGCGTAAATTGCACCCACATAGCGACAGTCAGGCTTTTCGTAGAACCGGTGAAAAATGGAATAATTTGCGAAGCACTGCTTCGTCCCGGATCGCTAAAGTACAAGTCGTAATCGACTTGAATGGCTGCAAGAATTAAAATAAAAATAATTATCGTATTAATAATATCTTCAAATTAAAAATATAACATGAAAGACGTACATTTTCTGCAATCATCGCCAGTTAAATTAAACGGACATTGGCAGAAGAATTTGCCGGTGAGATCGATACAGGTCGCCGACGGCGGGCAAGAATTCTCTTTGCAGTCGATGATGTCCTCCTCGCAAGTGTGACCTAATTATAAAAATTATAAAATTTTTTTAATTGTTTAATAATTGATCCGTTTGAAAAAAAGGCAAATAACGTTGATGGAGTAATTACCTGTATATCCTGGAGGACATACGCAAGTGAATCCGGATCCCTCGTCGATGCATGTCGCTCCGTTTTTGCAAGCCCCGGCCTGACAGGCATCGTATTCGTACTGACAGCCGATACCCGTGTAATCATCCGGACAGGTACAATTTAAACCCGAACCAAAATCTTGACAGCGACCATGATGCATGCACGGATTTCCGATGCAACGTTCCGGTGCCGTTTCGCATTGCTTGCCGTCGGTACCGGATGGACAGCTGTCGATTAAAAATTGAAAATAAATCGATACTTTTATCGAATGTGTCCAAAGAAAACATTCTCGGCAATTTAAATACTTACACGCAAAAGTAGTCCATGAACAAGTCTACGCATGCGGCATCGTTCTGGCACGGTCGATTCTGGCACATGCCGACGTCTATCTGACAATAAGTCCCGGTCCATCCCTCCGGACACACGCACTTGAAGCCGCCAACCTCGTCTACGCACATCGCATTGTTCAGGCACGGATCGGACTCGCAGTCGTCAATGTCGATCTCGCACGACGCGCCGGTATAGCCTTCGCGGCAATGACAGACGAAGGTGTTGTCGAGATCCACGCAGCGATCGGTACCAACCGGACTGCAAGGGTCGCTGAGGCACTCATCGATCTCCGCCTCGCATTGCAGCCCGACGTAGCCGGGTCTACATTTGCAGACGAATCCCTCCAGCTGATCCAAGCACGTGGCGCCGTTCTGGCAAGGATCAGATGCGCAGTCATCGATCGTATGCTGGCACTGCTTGCCGGTGTAACCGGGCTCGCAGGTGCAGGTATAATCGCCAATCTGGTCGATGCATTGGCCGTTATTTCTGCACGGCTTCGAGGCGCACTCATTGATGTTGGTCTCGCAAGCTGCGCCGGTCCATCCCGTATGGCAGATGCATTCATGACTGAAGAGCTTGTCCACGCAGATTCCGTTGAGACAGGGATTGCCCGAGCACAAGTCGATCTTCTCATGGCAGCGTTTGCCGGTGAATCCGGGCGGACAATCGCAGGAGAAGTCGGCGATCAAATCAGTGCAGTTGGCGCCGAGCAGACAAGGTCGTTCGGCACAATCGTCGGTGTTGATTTCGCAGCTCTGACCTTCCCATCCTGGCAAGCAATCGCACTTGTAGCGGCCTTGTTGAAGGGCCACGCATGTCGCACCGTTGTTGCAAGGATTTCCGCTCGCTGTACATGGATTTATCTGCGAAAACGCAAAATTAAATCAATTACATTTTACGAATAAAAATACAACTCTTTGTCGAATCTTTTTCGCAAAAATATAAAGAGATATTTACAGTGATGTCGCAATCGACTCCGGTGTATCCAGACCGACAGAGACAAGTATAATTGTTAAATCCAGGTTCGTCCTTGCACATGGCTCTCTCCGGGCACGTGTCATTGGTACAATCCGATTTCTCCTCCTGACAATTAATACCGAAATAGCCATTAGCGCATTGGCACCTGTAGCCTTGCGGTAGATCGATGCAAGTAGCACCGTTGTAACACGGCTGAGACGCGCACTCGTCAATGTCAATCTCGCAACGTCTCCCGGAGAAGCCAGCCGGGCAGTAACAGTGCACGCCATGTCCCATTGGCACGCAGAGACCACCGTGTTGACATACATTGTCGGTGCACTGGACAAGTTTGCATTCCTCGCGACCCAGCGAGCCGGGTCCGTCCGTGTACATGTTCGTCGGACACTCGATGCAGGTGATCGCGCCATGCTGAGGCTGGAAGAAATTCTTAGGACACTGAGCGCACGGAGATAGTCCCGTGTCCGAGTACATGCCCGGAGAACATTTGGGACGGCAACGATCGCGGCCAGGGGCGGCCGGTTGGTAGGTAAATGTGCCGGCCGGACAAGTCTGGCAATCCTTGTAGCCGCCTATCGGCGGCTCGCCGGTGTAGCTGTTTCTAGGACACTCCAGACAAGGCACCAGACCGGATGGCGAGTACGTGCCGTAACCGCAGACCGGTATGCAATCGTCTATGCTTTTAGAACCTTCTTCCTTCGTGTAAGTACCGAATGGACAGCGCAAGCAAGATCCTTGACGGTCGCTGTTCTGATAGAAGCCCTTCGGACAGAGGGTGCACTGCTTCTGATTCTCACCGGCGAAAGTTCCGGCCGGACAGTGCACTGAAAGTGTATAGAAAAATTTGCGATTAAATTTTTTTTCAAGACATTCAAAGGAGGAGATGGAAAATTAAATAATGCGTTTACTTACGACAACGAGGAACGTCCTTGGTATCCATGTTTAATACTTCACCGACGTTGCACGTGAAACCTTTGCTGCTGGATGATTTGAGAGCACGAAGAGGCGGACATTGATTGCTGATCGATGAGACGTTTAATAAAGACTCGATAACTGCAGTCGCATACGGGGCCGATAAATCGAAGATCAGAATCAATGTGCCGCCGCAGTGCTCGTATAATTGCGTTTGACTTATTGCCGGCACGATTACCAACACAAAGTCCACCTAAAATTTGGCGAAATGTATTACTTATAGTTTTTCATTATATTATTGTTGCATTTATTACAGTTACCTGTATCAGTAATGATTAGAAGATGTGAAGATTTGACAATTTATTTCTTACCTTGAGAAGATTCTCTTCGAGCAAGGAAGGCATTGATTTGATGAAAGACACATTCATATTCACATTCAAACCAGAGCAACGTTGAGTTAAAATATTATTGATTTTCGTATAAGATTCAGCCATGAGATCCTGATACTGCGGCAAACAGGATCGAGAAACAGCGCCATTCGCACGATAAGTTATAGAGGCTATCACATGATAATCAGCTTGTTGCGTGTCTACGGATATGAAGATATTTCATTAATTATAATATATTCTTTTAAAATGTTTAAGGATGTTTTGTACCTATTTTCAGAATATTGAGAATTTAATGAAAATTGTATAGAATGTCCTTACATATGTTTGGAATCTTCAACAATTTTTAAATCGATTCACTAAACCGTTCACAAGTTATAAAGATTTTAATTTGCACCGAATTAACATGTGTTCTTATAGAAAACGTATAATCACGTCGATTCAAATGATAAAAACACATGGAAATAATATTCAGAATTTGCTTAAAATTTGCAAAAGTTTAGATACAGAGGAAATATTTGATCAAATAATATTATACAAGTACTACCTGATTAAAAAGATATTAAATATAATTTAATGAAGTTAGCCATGTATCTGTCACAAGGCGAAATTCTCTGCCAAAAATTAATCATTTCGATTAATAAAATTCGGAATATTTTAGTAAAAACGCAATAAATATTAAAAAATACATTTCTGCACTGTAGCTGAGATCAAATTATAATATTCCACGCAATTTCTCATACTCAAAATACACCAAAAATGGATTTGTCAATATTGATTTTCAGCTACTTTTTACTGGAATTGTACATACAAAACATCCTTAAGGAAAATATAGAATATAACAATTTCTCATACTCAAAATACACCAAAAGTGGATATTTGTCAATATTGATTTTCAGCTACTTTTTGCTGAAATTGTACAAAACATCCTTAAAGAAATTTAAAGCAAAGATAAAGACTCACTTTCGGAAACGCAGTCGGGAACCACCGACGAGGGCGTCCACCGTTTGTTAACGTCGCATCCAAACTTCTTTTCTGGTAAACCATCCGTGAATCTGTATCCAGCTTTGCAGTTTGCTACACATTGCAATCCCTTATTTCCAGGGACACATTTTAGGCCGCCGTTAGCCGGCGGTTTTAATTCCCAATCAACGCAGGGCGTTGCCTGAACCGAAACTTGAAAGTGACAAGTTGCTCGATTGCCGCTCAAGTCCGTTGCATATACCGTGACGTTTTCAAAGCTACCGACTCGAATCATTGCACGTTCTGGCACAAAAGTAATCTTCACGGGACCGGATGCGTCCGTGGCATTGATACGTCTTCGTGTTTCGTTGAAATTGATGGAATAACTTTCTTGTCGATCGACCAGTTCGATGACATAGCTTTGGGGACAGCTCAGTTTCGGTGGAGTTATATCTGTGATATAGATAAAGATCGTATTATTAATATTAATATTTTAAATTAAAATGAATACATATTATTTTTGAACATTTTAAATTAATATTTTTCTAAATTGGAATATTAATATTAATATTTTAATTAATAATGTTAATATTTTCATTAAGTAATATTGTTAATATTATTAATATCAATAATACCCTAATATTAATATTAATAATTATATTTTAATTAATACTTTTTTATTATTAATATCAATATTAATATTAATATTTTCTTTAATATTAACATTAATAAAAAATAATAATAGCATTACTAACCGGGCACGGTAATGTTAATTTCGCAGATGGCGACATTGCCGTCGTAATCGAAGGCCACGTATTTTACGACTGTGTCCTCAAAGATCCGAATGGGCGTTCTGAAACTCTGCGGCTTTACTTCCAGTCGAGCGATGCTTCCGCTGTTGTCAATGGCCGTTGGAACTGTGAAATTCACCGGAAGCAATTCCCCATCGGCTCCCTTTTGCACGACTATGGGTTGCTGCGGACAATTCTGGAATACTGGCGGTTCGTTGTCCACACACGGCGAGAATCCGTAATCGTAACCCAACAACGGCTCGACCACCGGTTCGTCACATCCCATCAACTCAAACTTCAGACAGGGGTTATCCATGTAGCTGACGATACCGAGGATAATGAAACGAGCCTGCTCATATTTTGGCAGAGTGATCATCGCCAGCTCGCCGTAATTTCCTGGATCGCGCATGGTTAGAGTGAAATTCGGGTAATATACGACATAATTCTCGCTCTCTAGTTGCTTGTAGAAGAATCGAATTTCCGTAGGTCTGCCAACAATGTCGTTGGTGACGACGCCTTTCACGAGAATCGCCTTCACTCGATAGACGCGACCGAGGTCGACGGTGATGTAGGCGAAGGCCTCTGGTTTGCCGCACCAGCCGGTCACGGAATTTAGCCGGACGTTTCTAGGCTCGTAGTTGGGTCGTTCGGAAGTAGCGTTTATCGCCGAGTCTGGGATTCGCCCGGAAGCGAGACCGAGCGGCTTGATGACCTTGCATTCGGGCTCGCGGATGCAGACTATCGGTCGCGGATTGATGAGGATGTAGCCAGGTCTGCTGCAGCCGAACTGCACTTCGGAGCCTTGCTCGTAACTTCGAGCTACTTGATAGCCGTCGCTTGGTCTGCCAGGGTCTTCGCAGACGGGACCCTCGCATCGTAAATTTCCAAAGTCCCAGACGCCGTTTGCTTGGCAACGCACGACGTTATCATTGCGATTGGTCTGACCGGCCAACTTGAAAGTATCCTGACAGCCGAAGAAGAAAGACGATTGGTATCTGGAATCGAGGTACTGGCCATATTCGGCGCCAGGCGTGGGAAGAGGTTTGCCGCAATCCACTCGAGGACAAGCCGGTTGCAAGCCCGACAGCCAGTAATCAGGTAAGCCAGGTTTAGGGTCGTACACGCACTGTCGAAAAGCAGAAGACACGGTGTTGCGCAAATAGCGGCCGTTGCTGCCGCACTTGAGTGTGACGTTCTGTTTGAAAGGCACTAATACACTAGCCTCGTCGTTTCGGATCACGGAAAGACCCTCGTTTTTGTCGTCCGGTAGCGACACGCATTTTGCATCTGAAAAAAAGTTTGAAAGTTTTAAATTGTCGTAGAAATTTATAAATATGTAATAAAATTAAACTTTTTTGTACAACATTTTATCGTCAGATATAATAGATATGATATACAAATTTATATAAAACTATTTTGAGAATTTCATTTACATGTCAGATGCTTACATTGACATTCGGGAATAGTTCCGTTCCAGACTCCGGAAGAAGTACAAATTAGAGCCGAAGGTCCTGATAATACATAACCAAAATTACACTGGAATCTGACGAGATCGCTAAAATGATGCTGCTCCTACAAAACAAATGAATTTCGGAAATCCGTCTATGAAAGATATTTCATAACAATTATTTTCGTGACAATTAACACTTATTCAAACAATCGATTTTCGTGTCATTTAATATTTTACCTTGGTCGAGAGTAATTTTCCATTTTCTGGTGACGTTAATGGAGGACACATCACCGGGACGCACGTCTTGTTTCTCTGATACAAATCGCCATCCCTTTCGCCGGTCTCCGATTTCTCCAGATCGAATCCAGCCGTGCCGTTGCCCTTGTATAATTCGAAACCAGTGTTGCACATGCAAGAGTAGCTGCCAGGGCTGTTGATACACTTCTGATGACAGCCGCCGTTCTTCATCGCGCATTCATTGATATCGGCACATTCCAGCCTCGTACAGCCCATTATCTCTAGCTTCATGCATGGTGCGCCGATGTATTGCAGTATCTTGAATTTTATGTAGCGCGTCTCGATCGGTAGAGGCAAGTTCAGAACGGAGAGCGTCGCTTCTGAAACTCTAAATTCCACTGGTGTGCCATCCGGGTTGGTGTAATCCTTGAAGATGTCCGTCAGATCGTTCGTGTATTGAATCCGCACAGCTGCAGCGTACGCGATGTTTCCGTCCAACCTGGCCACGACTTGCGTGCGGAAGCCGCGAATAATCGTCGGTGCCTTCATGTCGATCATCACCCAGTTCGTGCCAGGCTCGATGTTGTTGCCGCACCAGCCGTCGCCGTTGTTTAAACGAATTCCCTTTGAAGAGAGATATACAGGGTAATTCTGAACAAGCGTTCGTCTTTAAAATATCAAGTTCTTGAATGAATTCTAAGACGATTTTTCCTCTTGCAAAATTTTTTTGCCCGGAGCTTAGTTTTTAAACTATAAAGGAAAATAGTTTACTTATTGCGGAACGAGTACAAGAGGTAGGCAGGGACAGCGCGATGCACTGTCCCTGCCTAAAAACGAACGCTTATTCAGAATCACCTTGTATAAATATATCGCGCAGAAGGGAAAACGAAAGATTGATTTTTAAATTCCGCATCTTACGGTTTTTGTGTATCCATTTTCCGAGTTCGAAACCGTGATCGATTCGTCGGGAATGCCGCCGTTGATGAGCCCGAGATCGCCGATAGGTCGACACTCCATGGTCGGTGCAAAGCCCGGCTTGCACTTGCAAGTAAATGCACCTGGATTGTTTATGCACTCCGTGGACGCCAGGTCGCATTGGCTCGATGCGCATTCGTTTATGTCTACAAATATACTCATCTCAATGTCATGAATAATTTTGTTAACGCTAGCAAATCTCTACCTTCGCAAGTCGGCACGTTATCGAATCGTTGATAGGGTCCGCATTGTATGATATTTGATCCAGTTAGCTTGTAACCTCTATTGCACTGCACCCTGGCTTCATCGCCGAAAAAGTAATCTCTGTTAATATCGACGACAAATCCGTTTTTAATTATCGGCAGCAACGGACATCTAGCACCTGTCAAAAATAAATGTCATTTTTGTCAATTTAATTGTACATCAATGTTAATTTAATTAGCGTTTAATTACGTTTTATAATAATTTATTACGCACGTGAACATGTTGGCACTTCGTCGGACCAGGTACCGTTGCTCATGCAAAGGATGACGGGATGTCCGCTTCGTACATAACCGGGTTCGCACTCGAATCTAACAATCGTGCCATAACTTCGACCACCTCCGTTCAAGATAGTTATGTTAGAATGAGGAGCCTCCGGCAACGTAGCGCATTGAGATGCTGAAAAAAATGTGCATATTTTTTCATTAAATTTTATTTCGCGTTATTTTCTTAATTATTTCATACCTCAATCCCAGATAACTTTACGTACCTAAACACGAGGGCTTCTTTTCCCATCTTCCGTCCGCCAGGCATGAGATCTTTTCCGTTGGCCGTCCGGAAGGAAACGCGAATCCCGCGTAACATTGATAGGTCGCCAGTCCGCGATAAGTAACATTCGAAGAGCCAATTGAGAAACCATTGTCGATTTGAGGTACGGGACCGCAGTATACTTCCTGACACTTGGGAATATACGTAACGGACCAGTTTCCTCCGGGGAGACATTCCGTGGATATCTTCGATTTTCCTGTGGCGAATTCTTGTCCTAACGGACAGGAGAATGTAACTATCGTACCGAAAGCTGTGTCCCGACTCGATGCTAGAGCTCCCTCGCCGGGTTGCAATGGCGGACAGTCTATAAAATAATTTTTTTTTTATATTAGAGCACACAGTTATTGCATTATATGTGTTAATAAATATAATAAATTATAATAAATATAATAAATATAATAAATTTATAATTAATAAAAAATATAATTTGTATATAGATTCATTATATATATCATATAATAATTTTAATAATATAATATAATTAAAAAGATTGTTAAATAACAAATTAAAAGAAATAAAATATAATATTGTAATATAATTAATATTAAAATAAAATATAATTTACCGGCAGAAAATTCAGCTTGCCACCCGGTGCTGCTGTGCAAAGCATCGGAGGCGAATCTGACGAGCATTTCTCCGCTTTCCGCAGTGAGCGTGATCTTGGGTCGAATGTTAGAGGTGAAACCGTTTCCGGAATGTAAGCGTAGACCGTTCGTGTTGGAACCATCGTATATCTGTCAATTTCGCGAGAGAAAATGAAAGTTAACGATTCCGCGAAACTTCTTCATTTATATAACGTGAGTACGATCTTACCTGCACGTAATCAGTCTTGTGAACGTCGAAACTGAGGAATTTCAGAGACAACGGTCCTCTATCCGGATTTTTTATTCTGTACAAACATTCCTGATTGTTAGGATAATCGTTGAGGCCGTAAGAAGGCGACTGAACCGTGCCGTTTCTCGCGATAATCGTAGCCTTGCAGCCTTGCGTGAAGCGAATGCTAAACCCACGCCTAGAATCGCCGAGACTCGTTTTAAAATACAAATACAAGTTGCTTCCGGTGGACATGATCACCGTCGGATTGTCCTCTGATTTTCCTGTGAGGCGCGCGATTGGTCGGCTCATGGGCGAATCTCCGTCTCTGACAAGAATATAATCCCGATTCATCTCGAGATCCAAGTCCTCGATCTAGAAATGAGAAAATCAAATGCAATGAAAATAAATTAAATAAATGAAAATAAATGAAAATAAAAACAAGTCGGATGTGTAAGAAATTTTAGCTTACCTCCACGGACATTATTCGTCCTGGCTGAGCCTGCAAGATGTACAGGCACTCGAGTCCTCCAGGATAATTCTGCGGATATCCTGGAGAAGTGAGCACCTGTCCTTGCGGCGTCGCCCTTAGAATTCCGCCGCAAGTCTGGGGCTCGGTTTTCCAGGAAGCCCGGAAGCCCTTCCTCTCCACCGAAGCGTCGGTGCTAAACTTGATAATCATAAAGTTCGAGGCCGAGACGAAGAGTTTGTTACTGAGTTCCTGTTTGCCGGAAAGAGTCGCCAAATTTACGGACTTCTCCTCGGTTCTACCGCCTACGAGGATCTGTACTATATCGAAGCTCTTCTCGGTCTCGAATTCTTGGAACTGAAACAAATTGGAAAAGCTCGTTTTATTCATCATTTAATAAAGAAGAAACTTTTCTGTGGCAAGAGGGACTTTTCCTATATTAAACATTATCACTTTATCGAACGGGAAAGACTCACCTGCAGAAGAATGTTGTGTCCTTGAGGGCCTTCGAGCGTCCACTTGCAATTGCTGAGGGGTGCATATTTATGCGGGTAATTCGGACTCTCCACGACGTCACCGCTGCTCGCCATGTAATATTGACAATTAGCCGAACAATCCAGCTCGTCGGAATAATCGCCGCAGTCGTCTTGCTTGTCGCACTTGAACGCCGCATTGATGCACTTGCCGTTCGAGCAGTGGAACGAACCTGCGCATGTATCACCGTCACGGGAGGATTATCGCTCCGTTTCGCGCGTGTAAAGCCGGATCACCGATTTACGCGATGGTAAAACTTACCGGAAGGACAGGCATTGGCACGACACATGAAAGGAAGAAGTGACTCGCACGTGGTCAATTCCCACGTTTGTCTGTCGTCCGTCAAGGCGGCGTCCACGCATTCGCCCGAGTGTGGATTCGGTTGCTTCGGTGCCCAGAAACCTATATTATTTTCACGTAATTTAATTTTTAAATATTAAAAAAAATAATTTCAACGTCAATTTAATTTTTTTAATATTTAACGTCAATTTAATTTTTGAAATATTTTATTCTAAAAAACTTTGGCTTCTCTCTCTCATGTAATTAAACCATATATGATTAATTAAATAATTTTAATAATAGCGTTAGGAATGCAAATGTGTTTCGAATGATATATATTTCCAGTACTGTGTATCAAATTATTCCATATTTGTTATGTTAGTGATTATATCCGTTGCTAACCACTGGCTTTCAGCGCTTAATTAATAATGAGGTTTAGTGATGCGGACTGTGATTAAATGCTCTAGAAGGGGAAGTTAATCTGTGTAGCAAACGGATATACAAAGCAACAACGTCTGGGCATTGTTGTGGGAAAAGTGTGTCTTCGTGCCGCATACCCGAGTTCCGTGTTTCCGTGACCCTGATAGAAACACTGGCCCTGCGAGTATGTGTAGAGTTTTGAGTGAAACGTTCGCATCAGCCACTTAATTTCATAATACGTTCGTAATAAGCTTGAAAACTTTTACTAAAATAATAAAATTCTTATTCTATATTATATTATTTCTCACATTACATTTTTTAAAATTATTTATTATGGCAATGAATAATTTCTTTTCTGTGTAATAATTATCTCGGTTTTCAAAAAAATAACATTTTAATAATAAAAGGTAAAGAGAAATATATTATAAGATGCATCATAATTGACGTATCTTACGTCACAAATATTTTAACCGATTTTAAATGATTGATTTTTTTCTCGAAAACTGTGTTTCTTCAATCAATAGACTTTAAAAACGTGAAGAATGTTAAATATTTATCTTGCTTCAGAATTCTTATTTTCTTTACTTCGAGAGTAGGACTTGCAAACCGCATCGCATTGCGCGGAATATCGGTCAAGGTCTCTTAAGAGCAGTCGATCGTTAATGGCAAAGAGATGGTTGCGCGCTCGGGAAGGGGAGAGAGAGAGAGAGACAGAATAAGAGAGATAAAAAAGAAAGGCAGAAGAGTAACTGCAGGATGCGTTCAGTTACGGGATCCATTCGCGCAGAATCCGCTCGTCTGCACATCGAATGAAACGGAACTGCGGATACGAACCGGCGTATTGGGAGACGAGCATTCCCGCGGCTGATTCGAGTGTGTTGGTCCGTAAATCGTCGAGCGAAGCGAGACCTAGCCAGTAATGATCCAAATGCCGGCCGATCATGCTCGCCGACATGTTGTTCTCGCTGTACGACTCGACCACCATCAGGTCGCTTCCGTATCTGCAATGGACCGTCCGTCAGAATCATCGACAGTAATATCGAGCGAGAGGAACGGAATTTTTCTAAATTTTTTATTTTTAAAATAAATGAATATTTATTTTTAAAATAAATAAATATTTATTTTTAAAATAAATAAATAAATATTAAGACAACAACCAACATTATGACTACCTTTTACTTTTTCCAAGAAATATCGGTCGTATTTTATTAAAGTCAAACTTTAGCAGAATTAATGAAAGGGCAGGATCGATAGTGCATGGCTTACCTCCTGCATAATTCCGCCGCTTTTTCCCAGGAATGCCTGATGTTGAAGAATTTATAACAGTGTATGCCTCGCAATTCCCATCCTGCGTAAGAAAAGATAATATTAAACTGTCTGTTTAGGTAGAGATTGAGCGCAAAGCTGTAATAACGCAATAAGAACGCAATCTTATTTACTAAGAGTGCCATTGTTTTATTTGTATTACTTAATCGATATTAAGTGTTCTAAAAATACGATAAAGACTTCGTAATCTTAAGCTTTCATATATTTTGATTGATCGTAGTCGCGGGATTTCTATCGGAAAAAATAAAATTAAAATTTCCCGACAAGCACGTTGCCGGGAAGCCTTATTCCGAGGTACACGAGCGTTTCCTGAGCAACCGGATACTTTGCCCATCTTATACTGGGGAATATACAGAAGACAGGAAAGGCGGTTAATCGGTGACCGCGCTGACAGTGACGGACACAACGGCCTCGTTCGTTTTTAGTGCACACGGTCTGCCTTAGGGGGTTGACAATCGAGTCGAGAGGACCTTGTAAAATAGTGACATTCCGTCTCGCGATGACGACAACTCAACGAGTTTGACAGGTTGAGTTCACCTACATATGTTCGCTCGATTACTTTAGTATTCTAGCCTAGTTTCTACCAAATTTGCCTGCTAATAGATACTTTGATCCGGTCTTAATTTACAATTCATATTTACTTGTTAAGCAAGATTCTCTTGAACCTAATTAGAACCACGCCACGTAATTTGATGCGCTTAGCTTGTTCAACTAAGAAATTGAATCGGAAATTTTTCTATCGATTACTAAGAGGGGGAAATATATCGCGCGTAAGAAGTTTATATCCAGCTCTTGCTATGAGTAAGAACTTTTATTTCACAGCATGCCGTTCATCGTCTGGGATTGCTCTCGAGCTTCCGCGAAATCGATTCGTGTCAGTGGTTCGAACAAAGTAAACCAACTCGTTGCAAACAGAATCCTGTCTTATAATGACAATATTGCGATTCTTCGATCGATGCAATATGTAATCGATCGATGGAATATGTAAATTAAATGCTAAAAAAAAGTAGTTGAAGTTTCAGTTAAGAAGAGTGTAGTTATCTTAGAGAAATAACAATGGCAGAAGCATTTATTCTTCAGTAACATTTGCAAAGTAATAATAAGAGAAAATTAATATTATTATTTTCTATATTTCTATATCTATTTTATAGTTTTTCCTAGAGCTTTAAAAAAATAATTTGAGAAGTTCTAGCAACTATTTTATATGAATCATGAATGATTTTACTAGGTGTGTCAAATAATGTTATTTCAATTTATTCGCTGAAACTTCTTGAAACCAGTTAAATGCATAAACTTATTAAACATTAAGCAATATACCTTTTCATAGACTGAATATTTTCCGATCTAATTGTTATGTAGTTATCATTTTCAGACAGTTATTTTACATAATTACATTTTGGACAACGTCTTTATTTTTATAAATAAGCTTATGTACTATATTCTTCTTTTATTTTTAATATATTTGTAACAAATTCGCGTCCAATACAATTGAAAATGTGCAGTCCTTCATTGAAACGCGTAAGCTGCGTCGAAAAGAAACAAGACGCGACATTACTCAGTCATGTAGCTGATGCAGTTGGCGCTGGGAAAGACTCGATGTGACGACCTTCCTTTCTTTCAAAAGGTCAAACGGCCATATTCGCGCTACGCACACGATTCTCTCGGCGTCCATTAGCATTTCTCGTTTGGAGAATATGTGTGAAATATTATTTTCTCTTCGTGAACAGACGCGTGATATTTCAAACAACGATCGCGAAATATAGTCGACAACACGACAGCTTGTAATTAATCTCGAAAAATGAAAGAGAGAGAGAGAGAGAGAGACAAAATGCGATAAAATATAGATTGCTTATAAAATATGGATAAACGCAGAATAACAAAAAAATTGTGGAAATCTAGCTTGAAATTGTTGGAAATCTAGTTTGAAATTTAAAATCTAATATTACGAAACCGAAGCCATAAAGTAGAAACTGCGACAATCGAAATATTTGATCTTGTTAGCCGAATAGCTGAAGGATGATATAATCTTTTAGATCATTGACTGGCACGCAAGTACGCGGAAAGAGACCGTCTCTTCTCTTCTTTCCAGCTGTCTGGCCGTTCTTCCGGCAAAAACGCCAGCGAGCTACGAAGCACGATGGATGATCGCGTAAAAGAGCAGATGAGCGAGTGTGTTGCCGGATGTTCTACTTTTTGGAATCCCGTTCGACCGTTTGTGCTCGGTCGAGTTTCCTTCATGTGGAAGGTAGATAACCGTGGCGCGCGAATACGAGCCGTCGTGTATTTTTAGGATCCGCTATGTGTACCACGACGATAATGATGATGACGATGGCGACGACGACCATGGGACAAGGTTGGATGGAGCCACGGTTGGATGGAAAAATAAAGAGACGGAGAAGAGAGGACGAAGAGATGCGGCCGAGGATTCATGGTTTAGGAATGCCGTCTCGTCCTGTCTCTATACAGCCTCTGAAACTCTACCTGATCCCTCGCTCTATTATTAACGAATTTTACCGGAGATTTTTCGTCCAATCGTATTAGATATCTGCCCTCTGAAACCTGACGAACCTGTAAAACGGACTCAACTCTAAAACCAGAATGTTACAATTCGAGAATACACTCTTTATCGTAATTTTAAGGTTAATTAGTCTTAAAATTCTTATCCTGAAATGTGATATTTTCATATAAAATGCGCGGAATGTAAAAATGTTTTATGTATGATGCTAATGACAGAGAGCATATATATATATCACTATCTTAACATGTTAATAGAGAAATATTTATGTAAATAAAGAGTTACGTCTAAAATAGCTTTCATTTCGATCATCGGTTCAACGTAACATATTAACATATTGCTTGTGCAACATGTTGCTCTGCAAGTCTTACTTTTCAAAATTAAAATTCTACTTTTAATCTCTAAACATACATCCGTATCCAACATTAAGCGGATTATTTTATTTTATAGTTATGTTTATATCGATTAATTAGTCGTGCATTACGATATATTTGTCCTAAATAAATTGCTCGTTTACTCGACAGGCGTTTTCATTACGTCTCGATACGCAATCGCTATAGAGACGTGATCAAACAAGAAGCGCAGATTATCCGAGATATGAGGAAAATAGAAAACACACTTATGCGGAAGAAAATGCACTTGCAATTTTTCAAACGCACGCGACGACTTATGGCTAACGACCGACCGGTCCCATATGGTACGTGCAACCTACTTAATTGCATCGGCGAGTAACGAGGAAAAGTGGAACAGTGGCGTTACGAATGGCCGAACTCTTATCCCCATTGTCTCTCACGAGATTTATTTATCGGACACGCGCGCGCCTCATTTTCGAGACTCTCGTGCGGCAGGCGCGACGTATAATTGCCCCGGCTTGAATTTGCGATTCAAAGCGTCTCCGTGCGATTTAAATGTACGTAACGACGCGGCCTAGTAAAAAAGAATCCCCTCATTTGCAACCGTATATCCGTTGCGCGAAAGCAATTTTCCACACACGACACGAGAGAACTCGATCCCGCAAGTTGAAAATATCCGAGCGAGGCGAGAGAATTTAAATGAGAAATCTTTCTCACAAATTATTACTTATAGTAATTATTCTGGGAAAATGGGAGCCGAAAGTTACCATTTTAATAGAATCGTGTTTTGTTCCCTCGCAGAGCGAGTGCTACTTTCTTCGACAGTCGTGTGATTTGTCTTTCCCATAGTTATCCGAACTGCATGTCATTAGCCGTAATAGATTCTTACCCTAACGCAATAATCTTGAAAATCACCGTACGCATTTTAGTTACGCGCTGCGTTGTTCTCTCGTAATCCGCGAAAGCTCTAATATTGATCGGAGATCGAGCGTGAAAGTAAGAGTCGCCTAATCTTCAGACTGGCCGGTGCTTCGACGATTTCTACGGGAATTAACTTGAGCGAATTGTTCGTCAAAATAATCGTGGGGCAACTTTCACAATTCATCTCGCACACGAGATCGATTTATGGGATTCTAATCGCACGTATACGAGAATCACTTCTGTCACGTAATATTCAAATTTTCAAGAATTAATTGACGCTTGCGGGAGCACGTTTACGAACCCTAAAGATCTCCAAGGGCGACTTAAAGCATCGCGAAATATTATCATCTCTAGACCTGTCTGAACAGATAAACGTCGAATGCAACCTTTTGAAAAGAAGCAACAGAGGGTCCATGTGCGGAGTTCATACGTCATCGGCAAATATTATTACTCACCATTTGGACAGGTGAAGACATTTGCAGTAGGAACCTGCAACAGAAATGAATCATGTTTAGTTAACGCCGATGATTAACACATCTGGCCGTAGTCTAGCTGATTAACAGCTGCATTTTAAAATATGAAAAATGCATCAAATTTTTAAAATATAGACTAAGAAACTTTTCTAAATTAACGACTAAGAATAAGAAATTGTCATTATAATTATATCTAACAAATATCAAAAGTAGTCATGAATTTTCGATCAATTATAATAATATCGGAAATAATAATGTATCAGATTAAAATAACTTTTCTATATCATATCAGCTAATCTTGTTAGACAAATTTCTATTGCGTTTAAAATTATATAAACGATGACAATTTCACATTTCATCGACAGATCAACTTTTGTTAAAGGATTATCGCGATCGTGCATCTTGAATTTTTCACGATTGGTTTAAAGCTAAAAGAGTTGTAATTTCTGGATAATTTCTTATAATGCCTGTGTAATGGCGCGGGCTAAATTCAGACAATGTTAGACGCCGCATTGTTATCCGGCGGGAGAAAGTGAAGACGCAATCCGTCCGACGATCTCTTCGTCTGTCTCCCAAGAGCGCGGAAAGTACCCGCTAACTTCGAGAGAGTGACTCGCCCGCGTTCTCGTCGTGTACTTGGACATCGTTTCGCATCTGTATCAGTGATGTAACGGTGACTACATTCCTGAGAGAGGTGCGAGAGTTGCACTAGCTGTAGCTGCGCCTTCGTGCATTCTTTCGCAGCTCGCTGCGAAAATTGAGCCGCTCGTAATGAGCCCCGACATGCCGCACGTGCGGCTCCATTTAAGTTCGTTCACTTGTGACACTAAAATATCACTTAAAATCTTATTTACCAGCCTTGTGCGCAATTCAATAATGATTCGCACGAGGGGAGTAACGGAGCAGCCATTAAATTTCAAAGTAATGGAAGCTCCATCAAAAGAGCTACGTGGAATATATAATGCGAGCGAGGATAGAATTAAAATTCATTTTATAGGAAGAACGTTTGAATCCTTGGTGTATCTCCAAAATCCTTAATTTTCCACACGAATAATTACTAAGCGGGTCGCTAGTATTTCGCAAGCAAATACCTCGCTTCTCGAGGAAACATTCGAGGCGTCAAGGCATCATGCAGAAATACCTGCCTAGAAGACTCGCGCATTCTCTCCCCTCTCGCGTATCAGACCACGTTCTGCAGTTAAAATGTTGTAACTTACGTGTATAAGTGTGTGTGTGTAGGTGTGTGTGCGTGTGTGATTGAGCGGCACTCTCAGGTGCGCGCGAGCACGCTTGCGTATGAAATTCACTTTCACCTCACATATGCCACATCTCGTGGAAACGAGCTCCGGTAACTCCTGCGGAGCTCACCGCCGACATACCAATTACTTCATAACCCGCGGTTTCAAATCCCCTCTCCCCTCTAAGAATCCCTCCCGACGAAGGGTTTGTATCACGCTAGCGAGTTCCTCGCCCTAGCGTGTTTTCCTTCTGACCGCTCTCGCCTGCCTCGTGTAAGGCAGGGCCGCAACCTCTCTTGCTTCGTTCTCCGAGAGAAAATTGCTCTCCCCCTAGATGCTCGATTCTCTCCGTCCAATCGATGCGATTAAGTTAAAAACTGGCCGGGGATATTTTTACCGGATCTCTGGCTAGGCAAGAACAACCGCGTTCTTTTGAAACGCGAGTCACGTGAGAGAGGACGCTAAATAGACAAGCGGTTCATTTATAATCAAGCGGAAACGCGCGGCGCATATGTAATATGAGAGGATCATGAACGCCGATTATAGCAGTTGACTTCTAACAGTTAACGTAATGCAGCTCTCCAAGTCGCTGAAACTTCGATGTGATAAGATGCATGCAGCTGAATGCTCACCTGAGACTCCGTTAGCTGAAGATGGCACAAGAGGACGGCGACCCAAACGGCCGCCAATTCTCTTATCAGCATATTTCTGCAACAGACAAGAAAATGTCTACCATGAGTAGGCGTTCATTTTTTACGTCAAAATCATTATAATTTATAATTAATAATTATAATAATTTATAATTAAACGCAACAGACGCGATACGAGATAAATTTTCTCTCTCGAGGTTTTTCGAAAGCACTCGTTGATGATTAATGTCTTTAACGTCGAGATATTTAGCGATGCAACGCGATGCGTAATCGTGTCGAGATTTAACGATTACCCCGACTGCAATCGCAATCGCGATTAATCTTCGATTCTTTTCTCGCGTTCATCATAATCGCGATGGAACGCGGAAGGTAGAAAGGTCTGGTATTTCTGAGCAACCCGAGTCGAATACGCGCCAATTCTCATAAAATTCCTTACGGTTTCTGCGGCTGAATTGTAGCAGCTGCAGCCGCGTAACCGAGTGTCGTGATAACCGTCAAGCAGTGACAATATTATTGATGACGTTACGTTGCACACCGCGCATATCCATTAACAATACCACATCTATTTCTTGTGTCGCATCAGACCTAGTGCGAGATTCATCCAAACATCACGTTCTACTTTTCCATACGCGTCGCTCCAAAAACATATTTAAGATATATTATAGAAAATATATATATAATATATATAATATATAATATATAATATATACAGAGTGTCTCAAAACTAATGAATCTTCCAAAGACAGATTCCTAGGATCATCTAAAGACGATTTTTCCTCAACGAAAATGCCGAGGCACTAATAATTTTCGAATTATAAGTGATTGGAAATAAGGAGTTTTTCGTAAACTAAGCTTCGTAGAAATAAAATATTAACAAAACCACATTCTTCAATTAATTTTAAATAGAGTTTACTTTGGTTGAGTTTTAGTTTAAGGCTTAATTGCAAAGATATATGATGACAAAAATCAGGAATATGCAAAAAATGATGGCCTTCGACATTTTCGCTGAGAAAAAATCGTCTTCAAATGATCCCAGGAATTTGTCTTTGAAAGATTCATTATGTGTTTTGAGACACCCTGTATAATATATAATATATATAAAATAGAGAAAATATATATAATATAGAGAGAGAGTAAGACATATATTAGAAGATATATTTAAGGATGTTTTGTACCTATTTTCAAAATATTGAGAATTAATGAAAATTGTCCAGAATGTCCTTACATATGTTTAGAATCTTCAGTACAATTTTTAAATCGATTCAAATTATAAGGATTTTCATTTGCACCGAATTAACATGTGTTCTTATGGAAAACGTATAATCACGTCGATTCAAAAACACATGACAAAAACACATGGAAATAATATTCAGAATTTGTTTAAAATTTGCAAAAGTGTAGTTTAGATACAGAGGAAATATTTGGTCCAATAATATTATACAAGTACTACCTGCTTGACAAGATATTAACTATAATTCAATGAAGTTAGCCATGTACACAAAGCGAAATTCTCTGCCAAAAGTTAATCATTTCGATTAACAAAATTCGGAATATTTCAGTAAAAACACAATAAATATTAAAAAATACATCTCTACACTGTAGCTAAAATCAAATTGTAATCCACAATTTCTTACTCAAAATACACCAAAAGTGGATATATTCGTCAATATTGATTTTCAGCTACTTTTTGCTGGGATTGTACATGCAAAACATCCTTAAAAAAATAATGATCATATGAATTTTCCAAAGATACATTCTTCTGGGATAAAAGCCTCTTTGGATCTAAGCCCGTTTAGAGATAATAATATTATATAAGGCGCTAATATATAATATATATATAATGGCTAATGCATATACAACTTTTGTATGCGTGACCCAAGTCGCAAGCGATTGCGGTAGACGTGTGACGTAACAGCCGCATCGCGGATGAGCGAACTCGTGGGAAGCGCTGGAAAGCGATCTTACATGCGCTGCGCCTATGCACCGACGCGACGATGCACCTCGCAAATGGAAAGAGCGAGAGGGGAAGGGAGGAAGGGAGACCGGCGCAACGACGGATCGCGAAAGTTTATTACATTTCGCGACTCACGCCGTTATACAGTCGCTTTTATGCAACCGACGAGCCATTGTCGAGGCATACGATCTGGCGCAAACTGGAGCAAGCGGCCGTGCGACTGCCTTCGCGTTCAATTAGCGACCGGTAATTAGGGCTCCTCGGATTTGGCGCTTCCGATTGCGTCGTGGGAGCCCGCGCGAGGAACTCTTCCTTAATCGCGTAAAATCGCACGTATGGAATTTCGTTGAGGGAACGAATAAGGTGCTCGGATCCTCGCCACAGGCGTAGGATCGGAAAACGCCGGAAGCCGTCAGGAAGAGGACATTAATCCTTCGTCAAGTGCGTCGGGATTAATAAGCCCTTCATTCGCGAGTCGCTTCTTCTCGTCGCGGTTCGTATCTTGCGTATCGTCGGAAAAAAGGAGCTAATTTATTTGAGATAACTGTCACCTCGCTCGTTATCGCGTACGCGATATCGATCGTTCGAGCTGAATGAGGGATCCGTTATGTTCGCGATCCGCAGGAAGTATCCGTTGGATCGGACAAACCGCGACGAGATTACGATTACCGGCGATCGCGACTAGCGTCGTAGACAGGAAATCTTCCTGCGGTGAGCTAAACGCTCCGACGTGCCGCCACCGCCTCGCTCGACAGTCGATCTTCGTCGATTATAACGGTTTATCAGGGAATCCGGACGCGCGCGTCACGATTGTATGCGTCACGATCCTCCATGTATGTGCGTGAATGTACATATGTATTCGGGTACGAAGAATCTCCTCGAGGAGAAACGTCATCGATGCGAAATCGTTTAAGCGTTTAATATTATCGATATCCTTTGAATTGCATCTCGAAATCTTGGTCGAAAATAATCGGCAAAGTTAAACCTGTTCACCTTCGGGCTGTTTATTATGGGGTGAATGTTTTCAAAAGTTCAGATCAGAAAGTTTTCCGAGTACAAAACACGCGTAAAATATACACTTTGCAAAATCGTACATAGGATATTAAAATACATGACATTCCTTTGCGAGGACAAATTGTTAATTTATAATAACGGAAACTGGAATCGCGTATCCTTCAGGGAAAATTAAATGTCAACCGTCTGAATAATTCAGTAGAAGAAAGGAATCAGTTTGTGTACTGTCTGTTTTTATAATTACGCAATTGTAAGGAAATATATTGAAGGATAAGAGCGATCATCAGTTACAAGGCTAATCGTCGCAGACTATCATTGATCTTATCACAAAAGTGCAAATATCATTCAATTTATAATTACCATTACACTTATACTACACAACAAAAATAAAAAATAAAAATAATTATGCATAGTTCAAAGATCGGTCGAGAAACAAATCCTCTGAAGCTGGACCTCAGGCCGACTCTAGGTCAGCGCTAGAAAGTATTCGGGCATCCTGTTAAGAGCGGCGCGAAACGGTGCGTGTAAAAAGCGAGCAATGACTCTTAGAGGTATGTTTGAACGCGACTTTTCTCTATAAGTTTTCACACACCGAGTGTGAAAGAACGAGTGCGAGGGATAATTCAACCGAGACTGGGAACGGCCGTGGATTTCATCATATTCGATCGGATATAAAACTGTAATTAAAAACTTAATTCCTCGCGATAAAGAGAGAGAGAGAGAGATCGCGTTCTCGATAAGCATTAAAGCTTATCTTTATTTTACAATATAAATTCAGCCTCGATTCCCTGAAGGACGTGGCCAAGTATCGCGTATGCGGCGAGTTATTTTACGGTCGTAATAAATAAATTCCGACAATCTCGTGCGGGAAAAGTCGCTGTCGGCGAGCGTTTCGTAAAGACTACATAAAATCGCAATTTTCTACGCGCTCGAGCGACATAGCATCGATGCGGTATCGGCTGTGGACAAATTTATGTATCCTCTCGCGCAGTGTGCCGAATAACGGTCTTGCCGTGTTACCAGGAAACATTCGCATCGCCATAATTACGATAGCGCTGCAAACATACTTTCTAACTGGATCCCGGTTCTGCTTATCTTGATACATCTTTTTACATAGCGATCAATTATATCTATAAACCGCAATGTAAAAGAGATTCCTTCGTTGGGTTGTACGCGGACGCGTTTTTAATTACATTAACAATTGGGATACTCCGTTTACTCGCGTGCGCGTAATTTATGCAACGGCGAATCGACATCACCGCGTTTATGATTGTGTTTTTTATTCTGTATATTTTCTCCGAGGTATGATTAGTTTTTGCGGCTGGCTATTAAATTGCGGCGACAAAATTCCCATGAAAATGCGTTTTTAAGAATTTCTCTATCGAGTTGTAATAACATGTCGTGCTTGCTATCGTCGATCGAGCGCTAATTTATGATCTACACAATCATCGTACTTTTACTATAATCGACGATCAATTCTGCAAAGCAGAATATATTTCTCTCTTGTTTGCTGCATTTATTCTCATGAGGTTTTGCCTATTAGATATTAAATTTGAATGAAACTCTTGCCTAAAGACATGTCTGAGATGTTTAAGGAGCTATTTTATATTGTTTTTATTTCTTTATATTTTATATTTTAACACGAAAATATTTTAATGTCTGTCGATTAAATTAAATATGATAATAAAAATGATTGATTTCAAATAAAGAGAGAGATTATTTTTTAAATTAAATTCTGTGAGATGAAATGATAAAACAGTTCTTTACAGGAATACAAGATATGCGTTAAAAAATATTTCTTGCTCTGATTTTAAAAAGAGCTTATAGTTTTGTCAACGAAAGTTGAGATCTATTTTTTAGAATAAAAATATAAATGCATTCTTTAATAGACTTTGTCGTCTTGGAAAGATGATGAAAAACATACATTGACAGATTACTTAAGATTAATTAAGTATGACTATCACGAGTAGAGTACCGCTGTGTATTGTCCGACGATGGTTTCCGGCTTCCTCAATGGACATCACCGATGACACATCCGTTCGGCGACAAAATTGGTAATCGATACCTCATGATACCGGATCTGTCATGGA